TCATGTAAAGAAATGGCCGCTATTGGGATACAAGAAACACAGCCTACTTCTTTCTATTTCTACGATAATAATAGGATTAATCAAAAACTAAATATTGGGATTGTCAATTAAAATTAGCTGCTTTAGACAAAATATATGATATTGTAAAATCTATTAAAGAATACAAACCTTATATAACATACAAAGGAAGTAATGTTGAAAAAGATTTATCAAAAAGATTGAACATTCCCTCATTTAACTTAGAATGGTTACAATGTCCCAAAATTGCTGAATTGTCAACGACTTCCTCCATGTCTTGTGAATGTCATAAAAGTTTTCACTGTCCTGCTCAGGAAGTTAAAGCTTTTCAAACATGGTTCTCTTCAGTGTTTCAAGATTATTATAACTTTAAGACTTTCATATTCCTAAAGCACCTTTAATCATAATGATTATGCTTAGATTATGTTCTCAAATCTGCTGAAAACAGCTATACGACTTTTAGAAAGTGAAGACAAAACATTCAATGAAATCATCCAAGAGTTGCCTGGACTTCTAATTGGGTTTTCTTATTTACAAATTTTAATTTCTTTAGAGCCTAATCATGCAGGATTAATAGAAATAGAGATTATTCATCATGTACACCAGCTAGTTATGAATTCAAGAGAAAAAAGTACTTTTTCTCAAAATGTTAGATATAGTACATATGATAATCAAATTATCTTTGTTATAAAACCTTGTCATATTGAATATCATATGAAATAACTTATAGAAATAGAGCAACTGCTTTGCTTAGTTTTATATTTAATTTTTTAGTCAGAAAAGTCAAGATTCAGTCGAAGATTCAGCCGAAAGTCAACCCAAGGTGATGATTGCCACCATGGACACGACTCCACTAGATGGACAGAAGGGAAAAAAGTCTCCAAAGAGAAAACATGAGGTAGATGATAACTGCTGTTGTTGTTTTTTGTTTGTTTGTTTGTTGTTGTTTTTTTGATGTTTTATTGATGATCATAATCCATAATATAGGAGCAAGAGGATAGTGATGATGTTGTGGAAGTGGCTAATGCCAAAAAAGCCAAGAAAAACCCACCAAACGACAACAACGCTCAGGCTGGTTCAAGTGGGATGGGAAATGGTGATGACGGAAACGACAGAGACGGGAATCAGGATGGTAAAAAACAAGCTGATGGAGGATCCTCCGATGACGAAGATGATGTCCAAATTTCTAAAAAACAATGTAATCCACACAAAAAAACAGCTTGATTTTCTTTAAAATTACTTGGAATTCTATAACCGGAATTTATATTTACTCGTATTTTTCTTTTCGTTTTTAAAAAAAGACCAATTCAACAGGTACACACAACTTAAATTGTTTTAGGAAATTCTGTTTTAAATCACCCTTATGATCATTTTTGGAATCATAGTTTAGAATACGCACATTGATGTTGCATGTATCGCATTCATGAAAGCCACTAACATGCTCCTTAAAACGTTTTAGTTTGCTTTCTTTAACTCGCCAGGAGGCGCGAATCTAAGGAGGGAAACATGTCAAGGGACAGAAATTCCAACATATATGTTTTTATATATTTTTTAATGTTTTTATTACGACAATTACTCAATAATTATTAACAAAGGTTTGCGCATGCATTTTGTGCGATATACAAGCTTAGCAAGATACAACAGTTTAGTCATATGATTGTCTCTTGAGCACGTATATAGCGTATTTAAATATCGATCTAAGTCGTATAAACTGATGTACCTTTTGACCTTATGACAACCATGTGTTACCTTATATATCATACATTTATTGTTGTAAAACTGATTTCTGTTTAAGTCTCTTAGGAATGATTTTCTTATTGTTAATTATGAGGCAACACCTCTACCATATTCTTAGTTAATATCAGACAATTTTGCCATTTGTGACATAATGCAATTATAAGACAAATCGCTACAAAATCGGATGCAAAATGTCATTTAGTCCTAGTTCTAGTTTTCCAGAGTTTTAACTACAGTTTGTAACTGGAGATTTAAGCTACGTTGAACATCCGAATTAAAGATCTTTTAAACCAAGATCAAGTCTCTACCATTATAGTCCTCTAACAGAATATAGAATATCGCAATTTTTTATATGTAAAAATGATCAAGCTCTTTTTTAATGGATTCAATGCATTACAAATCAAAATACTTATTATAATTTTTTAGATAATTGCTATCATCCTCAACATCATCATCATCATCATCATCATGAATGAAACGAAACTTCAAGAAGCTTGGTGTGAGTGAGTTTGTAGTTCAGTAAACGATTACAAGAACCCCAATTCAGAGTCGTATTTAATACCACAACTGGTGTCAGAAGTGGGATCTTCGAGTCTTGTTTGATCTACCTTGATTACTTTCTAACTATTAACTGCTTCTTGTTGCCCCCCAACTTCTTGATTTCTGTTTTAAGGCCCATATTTACAGCACTGCTTTCCACAAATTTCATCTCAGCTTCTGTCAGTGAAGATGGTAATACCATTTCCTTCATGACTGGATTATTAACAAACTCATTTAACTGTGTTGTCAATTCCTGGATATCTTTGGATATGATGGTATCAGTGTTAGAAGCTTCAGTGTTTTTGTCATCTACTTTGTCAGGTGTACTTAAGTATTTGCGCATCATCGCTTGGCAGTTTTCTTTCTCCAGTTGTTTAAAGCTTTCCACATTTCTGTCTAGTTCTATCATTCCTTTCTTGATGTCTGGGTTGTTTGGTTCTCGACGCAAGGCTTTGACAAAAAACTCTCTTGCAGGATCAAACTACCTTTCTTTCATTCTAAACAAATTTTTAACATTCTTAGGATCAACATACAACACCTTTCTGGCGTACTTGATAGCTCTGGCTGACTGGCCTAGCTCTAATGCACACTGCATCATGTTGCTGTACAATTTCAGCAGTATTGCATTCATCTCTTTCTCTTYCTTCTCATCCTGTAATGAACACTCCTCTAACAGCTTTATTGCTTTCATGTATATACCTATTGCTTGAGAAACCTGCTTTCTTTTATAAAGATCATTTCCAACCTCCTTATGGCCGCTGGATATTGTAAGAAGGCGCTGAAAAGATGCTTTTCTTTTGTCTCCTCTTGGCATTTCATTGATGTCTTCAAGCACGCCATGATCAACAAACCCAAGCAGCTCTATTTCCCATAATACAGTGCCACCAGGAACTCTAGGTTCGCACCCAAGATCTTTGAAGACATATTCTTTCTTGAAGAGGAATTTGGACAGCTCTCCCTTCCCCATGGTCGAAAGATCAATGTCTAGGCCAGGAAATGCCCCTCCACCAAGCCTTGCAGACTCTGGTTTACCTCTAAACCTTGATGAATCATAGGGCTCATCACCAAACTCACGATAAGCATTGTCATGAAACCTTAAAGTGGCTGTTCTAGACACTACWGGTCCCACACCAGGACGAAGAATCTTTTTGAGAACACCTTTATCTTGAGTAATGTCCTCCATGTCCTTAGCAACGTGCTCAAACGGTTGATCTGCAGCACTGTTGTCATCGTCGTTATCATTCCCTAACGGCTCGTTATTCAAAATCTGGAACATTTCTTCTGAATCAAAGTAATTTTTCCCGGMATCTTCATCGTCGCTATCGCGGGGAGGACCATTTTCATCAAATTCAAAGTCCACTCCTTCGCCAGTTGCCARGTCTGTGAGGTTTAAACTCTCCTTCAAGCTCAAAGCATACCTCTAAGGACTATGGACTCGAGCATGCGGCGTGTGATATTGAGTAGTCGTGTGAGTGAGTTTGTAGTTCAGTAAACRAGTACAAGAACCCCAATTTAGAGTCGTATTTAATACCACAATGGCTATAGAAGAAATAAAATGTTTTCATGTAAAGAAATGGCCGCTATTGGGATACAAGAAACACAGTCTACTTCTTTCTATTTCTACGATAATAATAGACTTAATGAAAATGATAAAAGAATTGCCAAATATATAGAAAAGAATTTCTTTGATATACCTTACACTAAATATTGGGATGCCCAATTGAAATTAGCTGCTTAGGACAAAATACTACTTGATATTGTAAAACCTATTAAAGAACACAAACCTTATATAGYTTACAAAKGAGGTAATGTTGAAAAAGATTTATTAAAAAGATCACACATTCCCTCGTTTAACTTAGAATGGTTGCAATGTCCCAAAATTGCTGCATTGTCAACATCTTCCTCCATGTCTTGTGGACGTCATAAAAGTTTTCACTGTCCTGCTCAGGAAGTCAACATCATCATCATCATGATGAATGAAACAGAACTTCAAGAAGCGCTCAAAACAWTTGATGAAATTAACAAAATTGATATGACCAGACCTTGGTATCAAGGCATCATTGATATCCTCGAGGGCATGCACTACATTTTACTTTTTGAGAAGACAAAAAT